CATTATTTTGTGTATTTGGTGTAATGAAATGTGTTTATGCGGTTTAAGGTAAAAAAACATTATTTTCCACATTATTTTGTACATTGTTTCTCCTCTATGCCTGTCATAAAGCAAGGCCAGACACAACGGGTAAGTGAAAGACAGGATGGTTTATTGAATGTTCCATTGAATGGGGCTTACAATCAGGGCTGGAGGGAGAATGGGCTCAGGATCGGAAGGGGTGTCTGGGGAGTGCATGCATGAGAGGGCGTCGGCTTTATTGTTACAATTCCCGGGACGATAGGTGATGGTGAACTGAAACCTGGTGTAGAACAATGCCCAGCGGGCTTGGCGTGGGTTAAGTCTCTTGGCTTCTCTGAGGTATTGGAGATTTTTGTGGTCGGTAATGACTGTGAACGGATGGTTTGCTCCCTCCAGCCAGTGCCGCCACTCCTCCAGGTGTCAGTCTGATGACACAATAAGATATTTTAGACAAAATTGTGTGTGTGTGTGTGTGGGTGTGTGGGGGGGGGGATGCATGGTGAGATCCTTAATTCCTACCATTTCATGTATTTTTCATGCATTTTTAAACGGCATTCGTATTCAGTAAACAGTGAGCAATAGTAATCTATTACAAAACCACATTCCCATCACCTTAACACTTCTAGGTCATGGGTTATGGGCCATGGGTCAATGAGGAGCAGCCAGTATGTAACACATGGTCCTATGGCAACACTACATCCTAAAGTGTGGTTTACCGATTTATGATGAATTTATTCTAGTATGCTTGATTATAAAGGAAAAATATCTGGTTGTATTACAGAATCTTCCTCAGTTCTTCATTTAAGATTTGAAAAAGTTATATTTCCTAAGTGAAATTACCATGGTTATTACACAGATATAATTCTAAGTTACGATGTTTCTGTAAAACAGAAAAAGAAAGGAAGAAAAAATCCTTGAACTTACAAAAGGACCTACAACAAATTATTTTAAACCTCAAAGTGAAAAAAATAAAATAAAATCTAAAAAAAAACAAACAAAAAAAAACTTAATAAATCAATGTTTATATGGCTATTCCCAAATATGAATTTGTGAATTCGCCATGGTTGAGCTTTCTAAAAATTACTAAACTGCTGTGGCTGTCTTCCAAACCTTAGGACAGCAGACAAACTACAGACATGTTCCTGGGAGCTTTGAAAGAGTGGACGTTCACTGTATGCAGTGGGTCAAATCCCTGTATTCTCCACATATAGGCCGCTCATTGTGTAGCATACGATGCACTGTGCTGACCGATAGGAATATAGCCGCTTGCGCTCCATTGTGCGAATCAATAGTGTCTGCATTCACACGAACCATGGGCGCGCGCACGCTCACGGCTCCATCAAATCCAATGCGCTGACGGCGCAAAATGCTCCACTACTCTGGATTCCCAATAAAGACAATGATAACACACCCAAACACACACACACACACACACCCTCACAGATTCTTCCATCAATTTCAGCGTCGCGACGTCCACCCAGCTTTGATGGTCGCTATAAAATAGAAGCGTCAAATAATCATAAAAACTCCTCCTCACTGACGAGCATCACTGTACAATAGGACAGGTGGAGATTTAAGGTAAGATAAATTTAGAGTAATAGATTGGATGAGGGTTTTATGGAAATGTACATATGAAGAAAAAAGCTCAAATTAATTTCTAACAGCTAAGGATTACGTTAAATTGCACTTCGTTACCTTGACTGTTGCTTATTAACAAAATATGACCAGCATCAAATGAGCTGTCATGGGAACTTCTTTGCCAGATTTGTGCACAACCTTAAAGGGGTCATATGATGCGATTTCATTGTTTCCTTTCTCTACATAACTGTACATCTCCCAAAGTTTGTCAAATATGTTTGAAGAAGTTTTCAGCCTTCGCTCTTGTGCAGGAAAGAAGACGAACAGAGTTACTAAGATCCAAACAAACCCATCAACTACTGGGATAGACATGGCTCCTTGCTTTAAGGTAAAAACCTTACCACTCTTTCTCTCAAGTGAGAAGAACAATGAAATAGTGAGAAACAAGCTATTGATTCTCTGTCTGAGAGTGAGAAACAGGCGCCAAACTATCAATAATTTAAATTAGGTTTCCTCTGCTTAGGTATTGATTTTGAGACTTTATAGATGAATGGTCTGTGGATGGTTGCTGCTGCTGCTGCTTCTTGTCATTATGTGCAGAAGCATGAGAAGAATTCAGTATTATTTAAAGGGATAGTTCAGCCGGAAATGAACAACTTCAAGTTGCTCCATCCTATATGAATTTCTTTCTTCTCTGGAACACAAAAGAAGATGTTTTGAAGAATGTGGGTAACCAAACAGTTTCTGGTCCCCATTTGCTTCCATAGTATTTTTTTTTCATACTATGGAAGTCAGTGAGGACTAGCAACTGCTTGGTTACCCACATTATTCAAAACATCTTCCCTTGTGTTCAGGAGAAAAAAAGACATCCATACAGGATTGGAACAACTTGAGGGTGAGTAAAGGATGACAGAATTTTCATTTTTGGGAAAATTATCCCTTTAAATATAGAGGACATAATGAAATGAGAGGAGGCCAGTGGTTGAGTGTGTAGGAGAGAGACATTTCTCCAAATTAGAAAACGAAGCTGTGACATGTGCATGTTTGTCAGGTGACCGTGTTCGAGCAGGAGCATTTCCAAGGTAAATGTCAGAAGCTCACCTCAGAGTGCCGCAACGTCCAGGAGCGTGGGTTTGACAACATCCGCCCTGTCCGTGTGGAGAGCGGCGCGTGAGTCGCCCACTCTGTGTTAATGATTGCAAAATCTTGCCAGTTAGTAAGGAAATTACAGTTTTAGATGTTTTTGAAAGCTTTTGAGTGTTTCATCCTGAGATTATTTAAAATGTGTGTTGAGAAGTGTGCTTTCCAATAAATTATGAAAATGACTGAGATGCCTCAAGATTACTTGAGAATTGCTTCCTGTAGGTGACTCAGAAAAACAAAGGCAAAAAAAAAAAATCCCACAATATGGGCACAATGCTTATAATAATACCTTAACACATGCATTTTTTAAAATGAAAACAAAACATCATAAATAGCTCAACCCTCTTGTAAATACTTTATAAATGTTAAGTTCTCCTTAATTCTGTGCAGCTGGGTGGGATACGAGCACCATGACTTCCAGGGGCAGCAGTTTGTCCTGGAAAAAGGAGAATATCCTCATTGGGACGCCTATAGCGGCAGTCTGGGCTATCATGTGGAGAGGATGATGTCACTGCGCCCCATATGCAGCGCTGTGAGTGTGTGAGCACATTCTGATGCTTTGAAAGTCTTTTATTCTCTAATTTTTCTAAGGAATTGGACTGATTTTTTCCTGATAATAAAACAAAGTGAGGACATCTCCTACAATGAAGGAAAGAGCTGAGCCATATCTCAGAAAATCATAGACTCTTTTGGTTAAGCAACCACATACACACTTAAAAATAAAGGTTCTTTATTGGCATCGATGGTTTCATGAAGAACCTTTAACATCCATGGAACCTTTCCATTGCACAAAAGGTTACTTCAAGTGGAAAAAGGTTCTTCGGATTATTAAAATGTTCTCACACTAAGAAAAAATGGTTCTTTTAAGAACTTGTCAGGCTCTTTGGGGAACCCAGAATGTTTCTTCTGTGGCTCCCTGTGAAAACCCCATTTGGAAGCTTTATTTTTGAGTGCAGCAACATTAAAAACACCTTAGCAACTGCATATAAATGCACCATAACCTGTTAGAAACCTTATTAAAAAAACCTATAGAACAGTTGTAAGAAAAAACACCATAGAGAC